TTTCCCCCCGAAACCCCCCCACGTCCAGACTACTTTCACTTTTGAAAGACCCTCTTTCGAAAAAGCAATCGGAAGAAGAGATACCAATATCCTGTGGAATTTGCATATCCTCTTTCGAAATGAGAACGCAGTCTAGATGCGCCCAAAGCCTCAACAGCGGAAAGCATGAATGATCGGGCCCAGCATTTGTACTCAGAACAGGAACAGGGCTTGAGTGAATGTATATGCGGGTCAAATTCTCTACTGGGTAAACGGACACGGTTCTGTTGCCCCAATACCCCTCCAGAGAGTTTGGCCCGCTGCCCTCCAGTCATTTCATAGCATTCTGCAGACACAAACCTGAGCCCCGCCCTAGGGCATCACGGATGAGAGAACTTGGAGCCTAGAGAGAACACAGTCAGGGCGTAGCAGTTCTAAGCAAACTCGTTTCCAGATCTGGCTGCTGACAGAACGGAGGCTCCGCTGCCTCCACCCCAAATCTAAGGGTGCTCCTCAGAGTTTCCTCGAGGAACCTCCCATTGAAAAGAACAAGGCATTTCTCTTACAACATTCCTTTCAGAATAAGCTTTCCCAGCTACATATTCTGGGAAGGTTGCTCCGTGGACTCCAGGAGTGCTTTGCTCCCTCTCGGCAGCCGAGAAAACGCTGAGAGAATCTGGGCATGAATATCGTTTTGCTCCTCGAGACGTTCTCCGTGGATTCGTCTGTATAAACAGGGAGTCCATATGGGAGCTGGGAAAAGGAAGGCTGGTGTGGGGGAGGAGAGGCGGTGGCGGTGTTAAGGACCATGAAGGTGCCCAGACATCTCCACAGCTACCTGAAGGATGCTGAAGGCACTGATTTTTCCTTGAAATAAGCTACAGCCTCCCACGTTACGTGCAGCGAAGGGTTTGGAACAAAGAAACTCAAACATGTAAAGGCGTCACCCCATTTTGTTCTCGTTGACACAATGCCTTTGAGAGGTGAAGTCCAGCGTCCTAGAGTAAAGCGGCCGTACCGGGAAAGGTATCCGATTAGATAAATAGAGATAATTTCTAGCCGCCTAAAGAGTAGTTAATTGTACACCTGATGATAAACCATTAATCTTTGATCTGACAAACCTATCTCCCCTATCTGTATTCAGCTGAGACTTTCCCAGTAATTGGGGTGTACACAACAATTTGTTTTTCCAGTTGTGGCAGTTAGTTCTTCCTTTACTGCCACTAGGATTTCAAATTCAGCTGAGCCAAGGGAGGGACTACTTAAGAGTGAACACACACAGCTCCCCAAAAGACAGGCAGACTCCTTATCTATTTACCGGGGAGAGAAATTAAAGTCAGTAAGGGAGCAAAATTCAGAACCCAGTTACAACAATTTTGCCACACTTCCGTTGAGTCAATACCGTAAGCTGCAAGCAGCCCCATTCAAACGACTGGGCAAAGAGTCAGGTACTTCAGTGTGAGGAAAGGTCTCAGAAGTTGGCCCCAAGTCTGGAGGAACTCCTCGGCGCTTACTGGAGTTTCTCCACATTTACACAGAGGTGCGACTGAGACCAGACTGAGGTGCCTTTCATCTTTGTATCGCATTCAGCCTCAAGAATAGCAGAGACACTTC